CTTGACCACCTCTTTTTTTTTTGAGAGAGAGAGAGAGATTTTTGCTATAGGGTGTGTTTGCTCGCCAGAGAGATAGAGAGACAGGAAGCAAGAAATCACCCCCCAGGGGGGATGGCCACACCGCAATCCCTTCTCCTCCATTCTCCTCTCAGGATCTTGGGCACGCACGCACGCACACCCACCCTGGTATGAGTTTCAAGATGCCAGGTCCGGGACTTGAACCACGGTCAGCCACATGGGAGTCCAGCGCCCCAACCACTATACCACCTGCTGGCCCCTCCTGGCCATCTGGTAAACCCACCTCCTCTCCCATAGCTCTCACTCTGCAGGCTTGGAAAGCCCCCGTGTCTGGGACCTTCCGTCTTCATCTGTTGAATGTCTTCTGATGGCCTGGCTGTCCATTCCTGGGCTCAGAGCTCTCCGCTGTCTGGCTCTCACTGTGACATGGTGACTCCTGTCACCACGCCAGGAGGTGCCCACGCACTGCAATGCAGGGACTGAGGGTGCGTCGACAGCCTTCATCTACCTGCGGTTCTGGGCTCAGAGCGTATTTCCATTCTCTAACCTGTGGGTTCTCCTCTGGGATTGAGAACAGTATGTTGGGTCGTCGGAAAAGCCATGGTGCATTTTTGCATAGAAAAACATGGAAAAATATGTCATGATTTTTCTGACAATCCTGTATTTTTCTGGCCTGACACTCTATGATATTTTTTTTCCTTTTTTCTTTTCTTTTTCTTTTTTTTTTTTTTAGAGAATTTGCTATAGGGCGCATGCGCTAACCAGAAAGACAGAGAGAGACAGAGAGATGGAAAGCAAGAAATCACCCCCCAGGAGGCATGGTCACACCGCAATCTCTTCTCCTCCATTCTCCTCTTGGGATCTTGGGCACACACGCACACGCGCCCGGCGTGAGTTTAAGCCATTGGGTCTGGGACTCAAACCACTGGTCCCGGAGTCCAGTGACGTAGCCATTATGCCATCTGCTGGTCCCTTTTTTTTTTTTTTTTTTACTTTATTATTATTTAAAATGCATGCTAGGGAGAAGGGACTGCGGTGTGGCCATGCCCCCTGAAGGGTGATTTTGTACTCTCTCTGTCTCTCTCTCCAGCAAATGCACATGCCCTAAGGAAATGTAAAACCAAAATGATTGAGTGCACATGTGGACGAGAGAGAGAGGCAGAGAGAGAGAGTGCCCTCAGTGGGGCCTGGTCACACCAAATGCTTCTTCTCCCAAGTGTCCATCCCATTGGGATCTTGGGCACGTGGCTGGAGTGTTACCACTGGGAGTGAGATTCGAACCCCAGTTAACCGTGTGGGGTCTGGCGTCCTCTGCACAGCACTTAACCACTGAGCCGTGGGACCGGCCCTGCACATTTTCTCATCTGCAAACCCGTCCAGCACCCTTTAGAGCCAAGCCAGTATTGGTCAGGGGACGCCGATGGCACGGAGAGGCTTAGTGCCATCGGCCACCATTTCAATCAACTGAATGGGACCAGTAGTTGGTGTAATGGCTATGTCGCTGGACTCCCATGTAGCCAACCACGGTTTGAGTCCCGGACCTGGTGGCTTAAACTCACGCCGGGCACGTGTGCGTGCGTGCCCAAGATCGCGAGAGGAGAATGGAGGAGAAGGGATTGCGGCGTGGCCATCCCCCCTGGGGGGGTGATTTCTCGCTTTCTGTCTCTCTGTCTCTCTCTGTCTGTCTGGCAAGCGCACGTGCCCTATAGCAAAAAAATACCTCTCCAAAAATAAAAAGAAAAGCACTCGGTTTAAACGTCTGTAGAGTGATCGTCAGGGTGGACCGTGAATGTCAGGTTTGTTTTTTTTTTTCTTTTTTCATTTTCACTAAGTTTCTAGGCTTATTGATCAGTGCAGATGGAAAGAGTTGACAAAAGAAAATTAGCAAAGGTTTTTTTTTTTTTTTCTAAAAATTAACAAAACCACCATTAATGCAGATAAATCCCTGGAAGCCCTCTTTAGGGTAAAAATGAAAAGAAAACATGTCACTTCAAGGTCTTCTTGGTCGGAACCCAAAAGAAGCAGGAGAAACCATGCGATTTTAAGATCCATGTGAGGGGAAAGATGGAGCAAAACTTGAGTTAATTCTTTGGCAAACGTCTACCTGAGAGCGTAAGCCAAAATACAGATGATCATTTCAAAACTGTTCCAGTGCCAGGCTCCTCCATCAGTAAAGTGATTTTCAAAAGGAAACTGAAAACGAAAAGGGGAACCAAATGTGTTGGGTGAGAGTTGGCCTGAAATATTTTTAAGATCTCTTTTTTTTTTTTTTTTTTTTTAAATCTAAACACATTGTCGGGTAAGTCACTTCTGTTTCCAGAAGGAATGGCTAGTGTGTGGATTTCTGAAAAGTGGTTGACTGTATTTGGTAGCTATTTTACAGAAGTGTTTGAAAGCAGACGGAACTATGCTTTTCAGTTGGGGGGTGGGTGGGGGAGAGACTATTAATATGTGATTTGAGTTTTTTAAAATGTTTTTAATAGGGTGTTTTGGGGCCGATGTTTTGTTTTTAGTTTTAGCTATAGGGCGCGTGCACTCTCCAGAAAGACAGAAAGAGAGAGACAGACAGAAAGCGAAAAATCACCCTGCAGGGGGGATGGCCACACCGCAATTCATTCTCCTCCATTCTCCTCTTGGGATCTTGGGCATGCACGCACACACGCCTGGCATGAGTTTAAGCCACCATGTCCGGGACTCGAACCGCAGTCGGCTACATGGGAGTTCAGCGACAAAGCCATTACGCCAACTGCTGGTCCCAGAGCCTTTATCTTAAAACACAGTCTGCCTTGCTGGTTCTTCCTGTCTCCATCTGGGGGTGATTTTCTGAATTAGATTTAGCAGTTTGTAAGATAATTTATAAGGCTTTAATCATCTCTTCAATATCATCCAAATCAATACTTTTTTTCCCCTTTTTTGGTAGAGGTTTTTGTTTTAGGGCATGTACGTGTCCCAGAGAAAGACAGAGACAGTGAGAGGGAAAGTAAGAAAGCACACCCCTGGGGGGATGGCCATGCCACAATCCCTTCTCTATTCTCTTCCTGGGACTTTGGACATGCTCCGGCATGAGTTTCAAGCCACCGGTTCCGGGACTTGAACTGTGGTCTTCAAGTGGGAGTCCAGTGACATAACCACTTCTCCATCTGCTGGTCCCAACACATTCTCAGCTTCTGTAGCTTTTACCCTCTTGGGTTCAGTTCATAATGAGCAATACCCGCCTTCCCCTGCGCTGAAGAGCCCCGCCCACCTGGGCAAGGTACCTCATTTGATGAGAAATTCCGAGTGCTGTCACAGCCTTGCTCTTTGACTTGCTGTGTGCCCACCTATCCGGTCACTTCCAAAGCCCACTTGCTGAGAGACAGAGATCTCCCCTCCAGCATTGCTACTTGGAGCTTGCTTGTCAGAAGGGAAGTGGGAAGACCCTGCCAGCCTCCCAAGTCTTCAGATTGTTATTACAGGTCTAGACTGTCCCAACCCAGGGCGGGCAGATAGCATGATGGGTTAAGGCGCACTGGACTCCCACATGGCTGATTGCAGTTCGAGTCTGGGACCTGGCGGTTTGCTTTCTCATTTTCCCCTTCTCTCTCTCTCTAGTCAAAGGAAAAAAATAATAACAAATGGAATTAACTAAATAAATACTTTTTTAAAAAAAGATTGCCCCCACTGGGAGAGAGAGAAAGTGGAAAATCACACACATACACACACACACACACACACACACACACACACACACATACACACACACCCGGGGATACAGCCACACTGCAATCCCTTCTCCTCCATTCTCCTCCTGGGATCTTGGGCACACACGCACATGTGCCCGGTGTGATTTTGAAGCACTGAGTCCGGGACTTGAACTGCAGTCAGCCACATGGAAGTCCAGCAATGTAACCATTACACCATCTGCTGGTCCCGTGACTTTGATTTTTAATGACTACTGTTATTATTATTATTATTGCTATCATGGGCACCCTTAGCCCCCATTTTGAAGTTGTCTGTGTCAGAAAACAGATAAGGGTTGCTCATTGCTTTCTTGTGTAGGATAGTTCAGATGAATACAGAGAGGGACAGTACGTTCCGTAGGCTGGAACTTTCCAGTCACAGGCCTGAGCTGGGCCTGGATTTGGCCTTGTAGACATTTCTGATCCATTAATCCCCATAACAGAATGGGCAACCATGTTGGGGAGACCTCCAGACTCAGTGGGAGGGACCCCTGTGTGAAGACGTAGCACGTGGCCTCAGCAGTTGATCTGTCTTGTCCATTTCAGGAGATGGGTCTTCATTGAACTCAAAGTGTCTCCATCTTGGATCTATTGGGATCAGATCTGTTGGGGATAGCTATCCTGGTCATTGTATCGTTGACCTCAACCCACTCGATGGTGGTAGCGTGTCCCCTCCAAATGGTGACAGCTAGCGATGCCTACAGACTTTGCCAAATATCCCCTGTGGGTGGGCCAATAATATGGGCCTGGTTTCCATGAACACTTGAAGCTCAAACTAACTTGGTTTCATCACCAGTTGCAATTCCTTCCAGACCCCTATACTTTGGGATTGAGGCCTAAAGGCCCTTTTGGGATTTCATGCACACCTTTCAGAAGAAGCTGTCCTGGACAGAGGGAAGGCCTTGTTCTGTGGCCAATTGCGTGTCTCCCCAATCCCGAGTGAAGTATGAGAAGTATGAGTCCCGAAGAGCAGGAGCATTGTTGGGCTGATTTGGTGACACTGTGTCTCCCACAGGGTCTGGCTGCCCTCCAGGTGACAATGGGCATTTATTGAAGGAACAGTGGTGGAACCTTTCCAGTAGGTGTTTTGCAATTGTTTGGGGTGTCTTCTAGACTCTTCTCACGTAGACAAGATCAGAGCCCAGTAACTAAGCCCAAGGTGGGATGGGCAGAGCTCTCTCCCTTTACTGTCTAGATTTGGCTGGATAGACAGACTGTGAAGAGGACTCTAGCAAAGGACTTGGATTAAAGAAGCTTTCTGACTTTGTGATGTTTTTCACTACCAGAATGAGAACGTGTCCTGCTCGACCATGACTGGCTGTCTACACCTTAATCTACTCCATGGGCAGCAGCAGCAGCAGCAGCAGCGGTGACAGCAGTGTGACCTACCTTTAGAGATCGGCTGCCTCAAGGGTCGATGGCTGGCATGTCGCAGAGACCACCCAGCATGTACTGGTGTGTGGGGCCGGAGGGGTCAGCCGTGTGTCCAGAACGCGCCATGGAGACCCGTAACGGTGAGAACAAGGCTGACCATGCTTGTCTGAATGCAACCTGCCATGTTTGTCTGTGGGGAGTCTAAGCAATATGAGAAAAGGAGTTTTCAAACAAACAAAATGCCAATTATTTAGTACTGCTTCATCATAACGTATGTATTGAGATTTTTGCTTCCATTCTAAAAATTGTGCGGCTATTACAAGATGTATTATGGACTCCAAGTCCTTTAGAATCGAAGACATCTTTTCTTATTAAAGGACTTTCTAAAATAAAAATTTGGTTTGGTTTTCACATTACAAAAATTAATACATTTATTAAAGAAAATTTACAAAGGGGAGAATAGGAAACAACAAAATCACCCAGATTTCTACTACCCAAACACAAGCACGGTTAATATCTCAATGTGTTTTGTTTTTAAAATCTGCTTCTCTGTGATGAAGGGACCTGGTTTTAAGTTTCTTGTACTGATGAAGTGTATCTCATTTTATATTCTGCTTTTTTTTCCCAACCGTTTTGGCTACATTTGCTTAGAGCACCACCTAGCGCATGCTTTTCAGTGAATTGTCATTTTATATGGAAGCAGTATATAAAATTATTGACCTAATCTTTATTCTCCTATTGGAATTCTTTGGACATTTGGGTTGCTTCAACTTGTTTGCTCTCACCAAAAGCATTCCATTTCCATAATGTTATATGTGATTTTGAGACTTGTTCCAGAGAATAGATTTATGGAAGTCAAATTATTGAGTTCTAACATGCTTAAGCTTCTTCGCATGTATTGCTGGAGTTTACACTAGAGTTGCACCAGTTTTTAGTCCCTTAGTACAGGGTTTCTTAACCCCCAGGTGCAGACCAGCGCCAGTCCATGGCCCCTGTTGAGGGCCATACAGTAGAAGGTGAGTAGTGGGCAAGTGAGCATCTGTGTTTGCAGCCACTCCCCATCTCTTGCATGGTTGTCGGGGCTCCACCTCCTGTTGGATCAGCAGTCTTATTGGATACTCATGAGAGCATGAACTCTACTGTTGTGTGATTGTTTCATTGTGTATTGCAACATGATCGGGGTAGAAATGGGTTGCATGGTGGATGTGGTGCATTTGGGTCATCCCAGGGTCATCCTCCCTCCCCCATCTGTGGACTTACTGTCTTCCATGAGGCTGGCCCATGGCGCTGGGAAGGTAAGGGATTGCTACTTGAATATATACCAAAAGCTTTACAAAATAATCTTGGTTCATCCTCACTACAACTATTAAACAGTTTTTTTTTTTTTAAGAGATTTTTGCTATAGGGCGTGTGCACTCGCCAGAGAGACAGAAAGTGAGGAATCACCCCCAAGAGGGGATGGCCACACTACAAACTTTTCTCCTCCATTCTCTTGGGATTTTGGACACACGTGTGCATGCGCCTGGCATGAGTTTTAAGCCACTCGGTCCGGGACTTGAACTGTGGTTAACTACGTGGGAAATCCAGCAATGTAACCATTATGCCATCTGCTGGTCCCACTATAGGGTTTTATCCCTATATTATATTGGGTTGTCAGAAGAGTTATGACACATTTTTGAGTAGAAAAACATAGAAAAAATACATCATGACTTTTCTGACAGCCCAATAGTTAAGGAACATGAGGGTAAGAGAAATCTAAAAAAAAGCTTGTTCCAGGTCCACAATTCATCATTATTAATATATCACAGAACTGGGGCCAACACGTGGTGTGGTGGTTAAAGGTGCTAGACTCCCACATGACTGACTGCAGTTCAAGTCCCAGTCCTGGAGACTTACTTTCTCGCTTTTCCTCTTTCTCTCTGGTCAAATTAAAATAATAATAATAGAACCAGCAGATGGCAGAGTGATTACATCGCTGGACTCCCATGTTGTTAAACTTGGTTCAAGTTCCAGACCGAACGACTTAAATCTCACGCCAGGCGTGTGTATGTGCGTGCCCAAAATCCCGAGAGGAAGATGGAGGAGAAGGGATTGCAGCGTGGCCATCCCTCTGGGGGGGGGGGATTTCTCGCTTTCTGTCTCTCTGCCTCTCTCTGTCTTTCTGGTAAGCACACATGCCCTATAGCAAAAATCTCTCTATTATTATTAATTTTTAAAGAATTACTTTATTTAACTTTATTATTATCCCAGGCCATCCCATGGGCTTTGAGAGGGCCCCCATGTTGGGTTTGAGAGGCCCATATGTTTGTGCTCTCCACATTATTGATGATGGGGCATTGTTGGCTCAGCGGGCATTTGTTTTAGTCACTTGAGTGCTTTGTCTCTATCTGCATTGTCCAGAGGCCAGCTAAAGTAATGTTTCTGGAAGAGTTCTTTGCACATAAATTCAATTATGAAATGGAAGAAGAATTTGCTTCTTGACAGTGCCCAGTGCTAAACATTTCCAGAGTGTCTAACTCGCATCTTTGTAAGTTCTATTTTTTTCAGACTTATTTTTTTCCAGTGGCTTTTTAGAAAAATTTTGCTTGGGCCAGCAGGTGGTATGGTGATTAAGGCACTGGACTCCCACATGACCAACTGTGGTTCAAGTCCCGGACCTGGCAACTTGCTTTCTTACTTTCTCTTTCTCTCTCTGTGGTCAAATGAAAATAATAATAATAATGGTAAATAAAATTAAATTAAATACTTATTTTTAAAAATTAAAAGCATGCTTTATTAGCATGAGATAAGTTAGTATGGCCAACAGAATGCTTTGATTTGGGGTGGCGCTCTTACCTTTCCAGTGCACTCCAGGTTCATGACCCCACCTTCTGCTCTTCTGAGGGATGGGGGATGAGGATGGGGGCAGAGACTTGGTGTCGATTTGGGGCTTGTTCAGTAGGTGACTGTTCCATTAAAAAAAAAAACCCCACAAGTGACTCTGCTCCATCCCCTTCCTAGCTAACAGTCGGGAATCTAAACAACTCCTCAGCCCACAGAATCCGGAGCATCTCAGAACGCAGGTGCCCAGGCACCATCCAGACCCAGGATGGAGGAGCATCTTGGAGAGAGGGGGAAGACATGAACATCTTTTTTTTTTTTTTTTTTTTTAAGAGAGATGCTCACTCACCGGAGAGACAGAGAGAGAGAGCAAGCAAGAAATCACCCCCCCCTCAAGGGGGAATGGCCATGCCACAATCCCTTCTCCTCCATTCTCCTCTCAGGATTTGGGGCATGCATGCACTCGCACCCAGTGTGAGTTCCGAGCCACCGAGTCTGAGACTCAAACAGCAGTTGGTCGTGTGGGAGGCCAGAGATGTCACCATTACACCGTTTGCTGGCTCCAGCAGGAACATCTCAAGACTTCTCCCATGAGCCTAATGAGCAGCTGAGAGTTGAGAATCAACCAGCTTAACTGGTTTGAGTCCCATCAAGTAGCACTTTTCAAAACATAGCCACTGCACGAGTCGCTTGAGGATCTTGGGAAAATACAGAATCTCATTGGGTAGGTCCAGGGCACAGAGAGCCTGCCATTCTAACTGGTCCCAGCTCTGCCCTGCAGCCAAGCTGAGAGGGTGTTTTCCAGGGCCAGGCGATGCAACATCTGCAAGGTTGGCCACGTGGGAAGGTGCTGGGTTTGCGTCTGGAGACCTCCCTGAACACAGCATGCACACTCGTTCCCATAACCTGGGGCTAGCTGAGGCTGGGAGTGGATTGTGGCATCAAGATCTTGTTGGCTCTGGGACCAGCAGTTGGCATAATGGCTAAGTCACTGGACTCCCATGTAGTTGACCACAGTTCGCATCCCGGACCTGGTGGGTTAAAACTCATGCCGGGCGCGTGTGCGTGCGTGCCTAAGATCCCGAGAGGAGAATGGAGGAGAAGGGATTGCGGTGTGGCCATCCCCCCTGGGGGGTGATTTCTCGCTTTCTGTCTCTCTGTCTCTTTGGCAAGAGCACGCCCTATAGCAAAAATCCTTCTCTTAAAGAAAAAAAAAGGCAGGTGGCATGGTGGTTAAGGTGCTAGACTCAAATTCTGGGACTGGTGGTCTGAGAATCACAGGATGCCCATATGTATATACGTGTGTGTGTATAATATATGTATAAAAATATATATATGTATATTTTTTGAGAGATTTTTATATACACACACGATGTTTTTTTACATCTTCATGGTCCTGCATTGATTCTGACAGGAGCCACGGACCTGGGCATCGGGCCCCAGGACAAATGCAGAACCAGCCCCGAGTTCAGGCTTAGAGTGGGACAGAGAACCAGAAAATGTCAGCGTGCACTGAGAGGCCAAAGCATTGCCACTCGCACCCCACCCCTTTTCCCCTTAAGTTTGCAGCCCGAGCTCTACACTGTCCCTTAGAAGGTGCTCTATCGGGACCAGCAGTTAGCGTAATGGCTGTGTCACTGGACTCCCATGTAGTCGAC